AGAGATATTTCAATCAGCGGCCCTGATAAATGGCAAAGAAACGTGTAACGCATTCAAAGAGGCTCAATCGAAGCTTTGCTGGTTAGTCAACACTGTTTGTGGGATGGAACTTGTACCGCTGTTCCACTGTTCCACGTTGATTCGCTGCACACGTTTGTTTCGTATGTTTCCAATGGAATTGTGGCATGAAACGTCTTGTTGGTTATTTGGCCATTGTTTTCTTTTGATTTGTTTTATCAAGAATATTTTTAGCAAAACATTTCCCAAGAAAATTAACGTTTCCAATTTTAGCTATAATATATTTCATTCTGTTGGCATACGTTTTCCACAGGTTCGTTTAAGTACAGTCTTGCAGAGAGTTCCAATTGTTGTTTCAGTGTTTCAAAACGTTTCATTCTCTCAGACTTTTAACAGCAGATAGAACACGTCACTCCTTTAATCTGTTTTTCCAACAACAGGAAGTGCCTTTTTTTCCTATGGGTCTTGATAAAGTTGTTCCCCTTTCTTGCATTCAAAAGTGCAGTTTCACACTTGATCACGTGATGCAAAAGTTTGCCCTGCATTGCCCTTTTGTATTTCGCCACTCTTTAATGGCCAGGCCATGCTTGTGCCAAGCGGTGATTAAGATCCGACCCACTTAGATTAGGCCCACACTCGCACACACAGAGAGAGATAGAGAGAGTGGGGGGAACACAATTGTGCTAATAAATCAGCGTTGTCGCTGGTTCTGTTCTGTTCTGTTGGAAGAACACATCACTATTTACCAATATACATTCGTACATCTAGAAACGGCACAGAAATGGAAATGGCCCATTTCGAATAGCGCCAAACAGGCAATTACCAGATATACAGACCCAGAAGCAAACTAAAGCGTTGCACAAATCAATAACACAACTAGGCAATAGGCAATAAGAATATTTGTATATAATAAATTTAGTCTGCTGTACTATAGCCGGAGGAAACCTTCAAAGCGGACACGCAACTCCAGGACCCCTCGCGTAACCATTTTAATTCTCATTTCTAGTACGTTTTTGGGCTGGGGTTATGGGATGAGATATTACATAACAAGGGTTAATATTCTCATACGATGTCGTTGTTGTGTAGTGCCCTCAAAAAACAAACAAACTGGCAGAACATTTAACAAAGTTTTTGTGTACTTTCATACAAATATTTACACTCGAAAAATGTAGGGACCAAATAGAATAATAGTAAATAAATAAAAAACAAATAAAATACGAAAATTAGGAAAAAATATGTTAGAGAAAAAAAAAATAATAATACAAAAATAAACACACAAAATTATAAATAAGAAATAAACAACAATACCAAATTTAAATAAAAATTAATTTAAAAAAAAAACGAAGCTATGAAATTAAGTTAATAAAAACTAAAAGTCGTAAATTTAATACAAAAAATTATATAGTCTTAATCAACTGAACTCCAATAAGAATATACAAATTTTAACAATATTTCTTTGGGAAAAGCGTCCATGTTCCACAAATGTTTTGCTGTACAAATAAATTTCCCAAAATCGAACAGACACATTCGTTTCGAATTGTGGCATTGAAACATTTTTCTCCATATGTACAGGTAGTAAGTACAGTAGTAAAAACCGAACTACCTTTCAAACTACTCATTGCCAAGCGTACTTTCATTTTGTCTGCGAGTGTATTTTATTTTGTTTAACAACTTTTATTCGTAATTGAAAATGTATAAAAGTTGTGTGGGCTTTTGCTTTTGCCAGAGTTCTGGGTTCCTGTTTCTTTATTTGCCTTTCCTTTTGTTGAATTATTGAATAGGGCGTGCATGCACCGGCGGCAGGGAAGGCAAGGCTTCCCCCCCCGAACTCTGACTACGACGACGAACGACTGCTACCCCCTGAATAATCTGAATAAGTCAGCGCCTCAGGACGACGAGGCGAGGTCTCCGTTCAACTTAAAGTTTTTATGCCGCTGCCACTGCCGCCGCTTAACCGCAATTAAACGTTGGTTGTGTGTGTGTGTGTGTGTGTGTATGTGCCTCTCTCGTTTGTCGAGTCTGCCCGCCATTGAATATAATTTTCGGGGCCCTGTCATTTGTCTTGCCTGCCACCCTGATGGCCTGGCCCTGACGACCGACCGACCGACCAACCGCCGAGGTTCGGGGTACCGGTGACCCCTTGTGCAAATTAGAAATGTCAGCTTTTGACACCGAAATTGCGCTGCCGCCCCGAGGGCAGATTTTTGGTACCCCAATTTCTTCAATTCCCTTTATCGGATTTACATGCGCTCGCATTTAACCGTTTTAAGCGGCTTTTATTGCACAGCTGCTGTCGGGGGGACGACGACTCGACTCGGCTCGAGCGATCATTATATAATGCTTTGTTCCATTGCCATTACCGTTTTTCATTGCATACCATTTTCGGGGCACGCTCTCGAATTCCATGCTGGTTGGTGGGTAGGTGGTGTGGTAGTGGTAGACAAATGATTCAATAATTCTCTTGACTTCTAATGGCACCATAATACGGTGGAAACTGAGACGCAGACAGACCCAAGCCGCTATCAGATTTCCTCACAACTCCGACTGGAATAGTGGTATAAATTTTCATCGTTTTCTTTCAGTTTTGGGCACACTTTCCCTGCTAGTCCATAACGAAGTCGAGGAGGGGTCGGGTCGGGGTCAGGGGCTGGGCGTTAATTAGTCAAAGTTTTCACTTGGAAATTACTGAAATGTCTATGCCGTTCAGCTAGCTAAATTATGGTTTGCTGTCGTCCCGGCCTAGCATGGCCTGTTCGTTGTATGTATGTATATCCCATCTGTATTATAATAAACTTTATGGCCATTTTGTGACCGAAACATTAAAAAAGTTTCGAGTCGCAAAAATTTGCATGGGGCACATTTGGACGTTGAATGGCGATGGCGAAAAATAAAATATAAAAAAAATATATGTAAAACGGCTACGGTTTTTGGGTGAGGCCGCTGCTAACGATGTGAATTCGCTTTTGACGAGACGCCAAGACTAAGGGAAAATATATGAGTATTATGGGGTGTATCAGTAGCAGAAATGGCAAATCGATTTGAGTGGATGGATGCGACACGCTTATAGCCCACACACACACACACACACACAGATTCTTGTCATATTTTAAAATCTTTCTCTTTAAGTATTTTATGTGAAAATGGTGTGTTTCCCTATATGTACATTTAACATTTAAATAAGTATATCCAAGTCGAGAAATCCTTTTAAAAGTTGCATGTTTCGTTTCCACACGTTCCCAAAATTTACATATGGACAGTTTTGATTTTTAACTGTAGCTGAAATAAGTTTTTCCCAGTTCTCCCCTGAATCAGTTTACTAAAACGAATTATTCCTAAAGAATACATTTCTAACCTTTGCCATAATTACCCACCTCATTCCTAACATTCCTCATTTGTTTTCTTCCCATTCCCCTTTATACCTTATCTCAATTCGGACACATCGTGCCCGCTTAAGTCCTCCCCTTCTTTTTTGGCCGCCTTGGCTAACCAAACCACACCCATGCAGTGCCACAAATTGCTGCCAGTACATTTGATATATATTTTAATTTCTTTTGGCCGGCTTTTACAACGGATTGTTGTTTCGTCAGCCGGAGGGAAGGCAAAACGAAACAAAAAGTGGAAATTGGCACAAGGAAAGTGTGAAAAGCAAATAAAACTAAGTTTTTTTTCCTCTACCTCTACCAGAATGTGTGTGTGTGTGTGTGTGTGTGGAGTGTGTGGCAACTGAAACAAAACTACAGCAAATCGTTGACTTTTTGTTGCTTATGGACGGACAGGTTGGGCCACAGCCCTCCCAGTCCCCGAGGCCCTGTCAAGAGTCCGTCCAGTGGTAGGATAGAAACGAGGGGGTCTGCCTGGTCATGTGCTAAATATCAAAGGCCGTGCGCCTATTATATTTTATGGGGCGGCAGAGCGGCTCCCAGTCCGGTGGGTAGGCTGGCTTCGTTTCAAGGTGAGGTCGTGGCTGCCAAGTCGGATGTTTCCTCTCGACCTTCGATGGGGGCTCCGTCGCTGTCACGCCCCTCGTTTTACACTTTCACCTTTTAACATGTCATGGCATTTAAGCTAATTCTTCGCCAAAGCGCTGAGCTTTAAATCTGATTTTTTCAAATTTCAAATGTTCTCCTATTGACGTGTTCTTGGTATATTTATATTCTATTATATATTTATATTCTAATATATATTTATATTTCACTTCCTATTAGCTTTCACTTGAACTCCATTTTAATTCGTGTCTAACTTTGAATTTTAAACTATTTAAATACACTTTGTTCCTAACCTCACATTTATCGAGCTTCACACGATGAACGCGTCAATAGTGCAATCGATTTGCACTCATTTATCCTCATCAACAGTTGTTTTCTCGTTATGTTCCACCTTGTATTATTTCCCGTTACATTCTCAGCTGTTCCAGACGGCACACACTTCTACTTCTTCGTTCCATTCTACTCTATTCCTAACCTAACTTTTAATTGATAGAAGCGTTGATCGTTCGTCTTAATTCCCCTGTGTTCATAAACAGTCGAATCTTAATTGTTCAATTCCATGTTGTTCCTAGAGTCACACTATTCCTTCTTTTAGAATCCTCTTTGCCGCTCCTCTAGTTCACTTTCTCCTTCCTCAAAATGTCATGACACTTGGCAATATTTGTGCTAAATATTTGCCCGAGCCCTTGGCTTTATATCTCCCCCGTAGTAGTGCCAACGGCATGTTCCTCCAATTGAAGTGCCCTCAATTTACCGAATGCAAATGTGGTGGTCAATGCGCTCCAATTGGCAGCGAAGCGTGGCCAAGTTGGTGCATAGCACGCCATGCCTTCTCCTCCTCCTCCTCCCACTTCCACTCCCACTCCCACTGCAATGGTGCAACAAGTTTTAATTAAATCCAATTACCAACCAGACGAAGAAACAATATCAGCTCCTCCGACTACCACAACTAATCTTTCGATATCTCTTTCTATCTTTTCTCCACCACCGCCACAGAGATCCGCCATCAGCAGTTCCGCCTGAGCATGTCGCGCGACTACGAGCTGAATGGCGTTGCGCAAGACGATCCCAAACTCATTGCATTCCTGCGCCATTTTGAAATGGGCAAATATATGGGCAAGCCCTCGGTCAAAGCGGCGACGGCGGCGGCGGCTTCACAGCCCAACGCGGGACTGGGCGTTGGAGTACCAGCAGCATCGGCAGCAGCTGGAGCTGGAGGATCCCTCAGTTCCTTTGGCAACAGCAGCGGCAGCACAGCCGATCAGTTGGCCCACTATGTGGCCGATCTGTTGGGCGGCAAGATGGACGGTGCTGTGATTCAGTCGCTGAGCGGTCCGCTGGCCCATCTGATCACAGCGCCCTGGCTGAGCGAGCATCTCAATTGGATGGGAGTGCTGGTGGAGCCGGAGCCTCGCTGGTATTTCATGTTGCGCAAACAGAATGCGCAACGGGCGCGCATGCAGGTGGTGCAGGCCTGCGTCTCACCCAATACCTATCCCAAAGAGGTAAGCTCACACACGAAATTCGAAAGATTTTGATCATATTAAGCAAACTCTTCGTTTGTTGGGGCGCGCTTTAGATTACCATACACAACGAGGATGTGCGCATCAATAGTCTGCACGACGAGGAGACCTCGTGGTTCAATTCGCGTGTCAAATGCTTTCCGCTCTACACAATCATGCTGGCATGTGAGCGCACCGAATACGATTTGCTCAGTCTGGGCGTGCAGGGGCATGAGCTGGAGGTAAGTGAACTCTCAAATTCAACGCCAACTACTTGTTGTCTCACTTTCACTAAACATTATTATTTTTTTTATCCTCGCTTATGTGCAGATCTTGCAGACGCTGCCCTTTGACAAGGTGAAAATCCAAGTGATATCGATACACCTGATGGAGGATCACGAGGATGTGCACGACTATGTGCTGGACATAACCAGATTCCTGGCGAGCAAATCCTACAAGCTGCAGCGCCGAATGGGACGCAATTACTTCTATCAGCGTCTGAATGTCGGTGCGACGCGTACGCGCAAGAAAGACATCCTGCTGCTGAAGACGCCCTAGACGCCCGCCCGCCCGCCCAACCAAACAACGAACACATCGAACGATCAACCATCGATCGATCGATCGATCGATCAGCATCAACATCAACCCACGAACAACAACGACTTAGGGGCCTGAATTGTTAGAGAAATCACTGATTGATTAAAAGAGAAGTCTCTCTCGGCTAAACTTTATGTTCTAATGATAATTATTACTATTACCCCATACGCTACACAATATATATATACAGATATATACATGTTGAATATGATTATGTACACGCTAAAAACATATATATATATAAACTGTATACCGATTATGATATGTAGGATTCTTAGTTTTTGTAAAACTCAAATCTCTCTCTCTCTTTATTCTTTCCCCAATTTCCTTTATGTTATTATTTCATTTATTATTTTGTCGAAATTTGTTTACCACTATAAATATATATATATATATATATATATATATATATAGATGATATACATATACATATAACGTATTATGATTTTGCTATAAGCTATGCTATATGAATGTTAGGCCTAAGCCATGTGCCCCCAGCCCTAGCCCCAGCCCCAGACCACTTTCGATGTATAAATTATAAAAATTGCAAGGGGCTCTGCTCTGCACTGCACTGCTCTGCTATGCTATTAGTTGTAACACTGTACTATCCATCTATCTATCTATGCCTACCTATCGATCTATCCTATATGCAAGTCTATATGTTATATCGAATGCTTTATCTAGTAATCCCTAAGTGAAATAAAATACTAAGCGCCCGAACGATCGATGATCGAAAATGATGAATGAGAAAAAGCGCAGACTACACAACACATTTAAATTATATTAAATTATTGAACCAAAACAAAGCACATCCATATATACACATTGTACACACCAACACACCCAACACACACACACACATACAAGCGCAAGCGAATAAATATATAGAAAAACAAAACAAAACTCATTTGCAAAAATCTGCTTTCAAACTCATCTCATACTCATAGTTAAAACATAAGACAAGAACCCCACACATACAATATTAAATTAAAGAGAAAATCGAGAATCAAACTATAGGCAGCAGCATTCAGAAAGTATATACACATAGTATATACTTACACACACACTCACACTAAACACACACAGACATACACTCATGCACATTTTATATGTACTAGAAAATAAATCAATAACTAAAAATAAATAAATAACTAAATAAATAAATGTAAATGTAGCAATGATGCAACGATAATGATTAAATGTAAAAACCAATTCGTATTTCAATTACATTTTAGTAATTCTAATGTATTATTATTTTTTATATATACTATGAATGCACACTGAAATATATACAGAGAGAACGAGAGAGAGTCAAATATGCAACGGTGTGAACTCGTTACACCTCGCCTTAATCCACAAACCCAAAACAAAAACAAAAACGAAAGAAGCAAAAAAAAACTCCCATAAACAGAGACATAGAGAACCACAGACACCACACACAGATAGATTTGATGTAGAGAATCAGTGCCTTCGACTTAGACTTGAATAAAAAACAAAACAAAATAAAAACCAAAATCTAAGCATACTCATAGAAACTCAATTGAAATTTGTTGTACATATAGGAGAGCACCACACCACACACACACATACACATAGTAGAGAGCAGCAGCAGCAGCAGCAATAACCAGCAGAAACACTAACTAGCTAACTATAGTTGCCGTCTTGTTAAACTTGCCTTAAACCCAAATGGGAGGAGGGGATGATCCCGAGCCCGAGAAGTCTTCAACCAAAACCAAACACTCAAATCCGTCTCAAATCGATCGCTATGCGAGATATACGAATAAAACAATACACACACAAGAAACCATAGGAAACTCAATTGAATCATTGAACACACACAAACACACACATACATCACACACACACACACACCCCTTAAATCTTAAGTACAGTGCTAATGTCTGTTTTTTTTTAAGCCTATTTCTAATTAATTAGTTGTATCTTGTGTAAATTAGCGTTTAAACCAAATTTTAAGTAGGCTATTATTATAACTCCTTTTGATTTGGCCTTGTCCATAGCACATGCCCCCATACCACATTGCATCACCCCCTTCCCTATACACACACACACACACACACACTCTACACAAGAAAAAGGCTAACTCATTGCTAAGCTCGCGATATCATCTACAAATTGTATTTAAAGCGAGCGATAACACGTAAGAGAACAAACAATTTATAGTTAAAATACAAAATAAAGAATACAAAAAATTATGAAAAATTCATTCGACTTTTTATTTTGAACCATCAATCCATCAATCACTTTCAGTTCACAATTAAATCCATCCCAAAGTATACATATATCTATGGAATCTATGCCCCAAAACAATTGTTTATCTTATGAAATTGACTTGAAAACTGTTGAAATACACAGAGATACGAGTACATATTCTAAACTACTATCCTAAAGGAAAAAGAAAATCCGAAAACTGATCAAAAACAAACTGAATGCTAATGAACAGTTTTGAGTGCCAGCAAAACCTTATACTATTTATAGTTAGATATTTGCTAACGAATTGAATGAAAACGGCGGCAACTGAATAAACTATGTAAATCGAACTAATGAATACCAAACAAAATTTACACAAATTCAATGAATGAAATAAAGATTTACATGAAATGTAAAAATAAAAATAAAAAATGCAGATTGTTTGATGTTTTTTTTGTGTATGGAATTTGATTGGAAAATGGGGCTTATACTCGTCGAATTAATTACGTTTTTCATTGAAAATCAACAAGAGACAATCTTTCGGACCAAAGAGTCTCAAAAGTCATAGAATTCTGGGATGCATCCTCCAAAAAGAAATATGCATGCAAATTTTTTAAGATCTTCTCTAAACTTAACTTGGAAACAGTATTGTTTATGTAGTAGTAAAAAGAGTTATAAATAAAAAAAGGGCTGCAAAACCTGCATCTAGGAAGTAGGCAGTATTAGCACACGATGAAATTTGAAGTGGAAGATGCTTAAAAACAATACACTCGGAATTTCGGTCTTGTAACAAACATTGTTTTTATATTTAACCATTTTTAAGGGTTTCCATTCTGTCAAAAGCATATATCTGCTGTTTTATTGAACGCTTGAGTCTTAAGCGGCTGTTTTAAATTTAAATGCATTCATGTTACCACGAAATCAAATATAAATATTTTATTATCCAGCCTGTCAATCGCAGCGATTTTCGACCCACTGCACATACGTACTTGCAGCTTCTGTGCGTAGTCACTTGTGCAAGCGCATTCTATTTTTAGATTTGTACGCTCTCCAATTTGTGAGAGCTTCCAAACACCTTGCTGCATATAACAATTGAAATGCATGGGCGTTACTCAACCACCCATCCCCATAGAAGATTCAAAGTGCAAAGCTCAACTTTTATGGTGACTGCCCGCTGCCATCCTTTCCAAACCGGCGGAAGAAGCACAGAGTCTATTGTCTTTGGTTCAAATGCTCCCAGTTCCCGGCCACTCCCATAACCTTTTGCACTTACGAAACTGATTCTGTTTGGGACTTGCTTGTCGTTCCGCCCCCGCCCCCGTGTCCTGTTCTATTCTTTGCTGAAGTCTTACGCGAGATTTCTTAGTTATTCAATCCAAAATATACACACATAAATATGTATAAATTCTTGTGATTTATGGCTGCAAAACTTTTCATTGCGGTTGATTTCTACACCACATTTTCCGTGGTAACATTCCTTGCAAAGGGCTTCCACATTGGCTGCAGTCTCCCTTTTGCCACAGCCAATGGACAACCTGTTGCAACGCTACCCTTAAGCCTTTGCCCATCCACCGCACCGGCAGTACCACCCATCCATCCATCCCCCCCAGAGAAGTCAAAGTGCAAAGCTCAACTTTTATGTTGACTAAGTGCTTAGACCCGTAGTCTGGGCTGTAATCCTTTGCTATCCGCTCCGGCAGAGGCAGAAGCGGAACTGAACTCATTAAAACGGCATTAGCATGCAGGTCGCAGGTTTTAATGTCGAGTGATCAAATTAAAATGCCATGAGGAGTGGAGCAGCCGAGAGCAATGCCAGCGCCAACTGCTACGCGTCGGCATGTGATGTGGCACGGTCATTGTCTAGGCCTGGGGGTGGGTTGTGCAACGGGCTATAGGGCGACCTGACACTGACGTGCTTCCCAATGCATTGGCGCCGCCTGCAAAAAGAGGTTATGGCGGCTATGGGGGGGATGGAGAGTGGGGTTAGAGGTTATACGCCTCCGTTATGCCGCCTACGTTTGCAACAGGCTGTTGTTGCTGCCGTTGCCTGCTGCTGCTGCTGTTGGAGGAGCTTTTCTGGCCCCAATTCTCAGCCCCACACACACACACACACACAAAGGAAGACCAGCGCAGGCGCCTCGCTGACACACTAACACAAATGCAAGGGACAGGCGCAGTGAGTGGCACTGAGAGTATACGGTGCGGGAGGGGGGTGGGTGGCATGGATTCTGCCTGTTTTCCGTTCGGTTCTGGGCACGAAAGTGAAAGCTGCGACTTTCAAACTGTTGCGTCGTCCAGGCAGGCAGGCAGACAGGCTCGGGATTTGGAGCAAAATCAATAGCAATCAAGTTGGGGCCCCCCAAAAAGGCAAACAGCTGTCAACCTACGTCAAAGGGAGCGCAGCCAGACATTGTTGTTGCTCCGGCGAAGCTTTTGGAGCGAGTTGCGGTACAATTTTTGGGCTATTTGTGGCAGCCACAAGCAGTTGGTGGGCATTATATATATGATTGGGTAGGGCTTAATGGGATATTTCTGAGTGAAAAGTTTTATTTTACTCATGGGTTTTCGGAGTTTTAAGTGGTGTGCTCACTTTTCGGGACACTACTGTATGACAAATGACATTTAAACTTCGCACGCACGCAGGCACACACAGGAAAAGCTCTGCTAAAGCTTTTACCTTAATAATGCCCTAACCTACAGCACGCACTCACACACACACATGCATACATATGTATATGTATGAGGCCGTAAGCGAAATGCGTAGGAATTTGAATGCTTTTTGTTGTATGAATTGACTCTCACATATGGGTGTGTGTGTGTGCCAGTGTGTGTGCTGGTAACTCCGAAGAACCGCGAGACGCGAGACACCGACAACGACAACGACAGAGAAAGAGAAAGAGACATACACAGAGGCGACCGAGACCCCAAACAGCCAAAGCTGCCTCCAAACGAACGGCTTTTTCAGTAGGACAGGCAGTCCTTCGGCTGACGGTCAAACGCGAGCGACAAGACACACTGGCAGCAAAGATACTAGCAGTCAGCAGGCAGTAGCAGCAACGAAACAGCAACCAACAGTGGCAGTGGAGCAGAGCAGAGCGGAGCAAGAGTGTGTGCAAGAAAATCAAAAAAAATATTAAAATGTAAAGAGCGCCCCCTCCCTCCAATGGCAAAACATTTAATAATATTTAATGGAAGAGCAAAGCAAAACCAACAAATATGGCGACATTTGAAAGCATTTGAAAGCTTTTTTTTTGGACTCGGTGGCCAAATTGCCTCCTGGCCAAAAGTGTGCTGTGTGCTGTGTGTGTGTTTTCTTTTTTATTGGGTGAAAAACGAAAATTTGACACTGAACTTCATTAAATACGCTCATATATACTTACATTTCTATATATATTTATATGCTATATATATATGTGGTTGCTTGGCATGTGTGTTTATGTGTGTGTGTGTGTGTGGCAGCAGGACAAAAGCAGTGCCACAGACAGGATGCTATTTAAAGTGACAGCCCAGAAGCATGCCACAGAAAAACACACACACCATATGCTGGGGCCTGGCACCACCAAGTGCGATGCTCGGTCGTTGTTTTCGTTGTTGGTGGGCGTCGCTTCTTTAAGATATGACGGCACAGCAGCATGCAGCTGGTGGTCTGGTCCCCACACACACCCCCCTCCCCTCGCTGGCATGCCCTCTCTTTCTCTTTCTATTTCTGTTTCTGTTTTACATGTTACAACCAAAAACGGTCAACTTTTGGTGGCTGTGTGTGTGTGTGTCTTGGCTTATTGCGTCGTTAGCCGTGCTCTCTGGCTTCTCCCCTTTGCCCAGGACCCCAGAGCACAGACGGTAGGCGTGGGGATAAATTTGTGTTGTTGTAAAGCATAAAAAAAATAAAATTCAAACATGCTGGCCGTATCAACAGCGAGGCGGCAATTAGACGCCAACACACAGCGCCAACAAATCGCACGTCATCCGTGCGCCTGCGAGCACCTGCACTGTACAGCGCCCACACACACACACGCACACCCAGAGAGACCAGAGACCAGAGGGAACGAGCAGCACACCCACACAAACAAATATTACCGCCGCTCTCGCAAGCTCTTTTGCTGGCTCTCCCTCGCTCTCTCTCTCTCTCCGGCTCTTCAGCACACACCACACACTCTACTTGAATGCTCTCTTTCTCCTTAACGTCTTTTGCTTTCGGCTTTCTGCTGTCGTCAGTCGTCAGTCGCTGACGTTATTTGTGCGTCAAACAGAAGTTTCCGGCCTGACTACTGAAGAATCTTTCACGAATACAATTTGTGTTATTACATTTGATTTAACTTTGTCCTGTGCTTGCGACTCTTTCCAGTACGTTTCCATTCATAAAACCCACCAAAAACCAACCAAAAAAAAAAAACGAGCGACAAATTATAGAAGAGAGTCGCACAGGCAACCGGAAATCGAGCAAAAACCCTTAAACATTCCATCAAGAATTTTGCATGTCTTCGTTCGTTTGCGCTGAAAATGAAATAAACAACTACATGAGCCACGCCATAAATGTCAAACTGAGGTAAGTTATTGCCATTTGCATACATCTATCATAGTATATAGTATATAGTATATAGTGTATATGGCATACATATGTATATAAAAGAACACCCATTAAGCGAAGCTCACTCACTGGCTAAGTGTTTTGACCTTTGGTATATATGTATGGCAACAGGTGCCGCCGACTCCTCTGACTCTGTCCTCGGCAAGAGGCAATGGAAAGCAATCAACGGCGCGTGTTTCGCGATTACAAAAGTTCCTGAACCGTGTAATTTAAATATTCAATTAGGTTATAAACAAGGGATTAAATAGTTTGTGCCTGGGTGGGACAATTAGTGGGTAGTTAGAGCCTATAGAAAGTGGCAACACAATGTTAGGTAAAATTACAAAATGTTATTAGATGCATAATTATTGGGTGCTTTATTTTAAGAAAATAATTAATTATTAATTTATCGTTTATTTGATTCATCTGTCCCATAAACTGATAAGTCGTAACTTATTGCAACCCATAACTATATAGGTGCGACTTTAATTTAAGGAATCAGCCTTAAGTCCACTAGCGAATTAAGCTAAAACGTTGTTGCGCACTCTGCCGTATAAATTATATACCTACCTACCATCCCCCGTGAAATTCTCGGTAAGTTTTGCGGCAAAAAAAAAACATAAACCAAACTGCAGTTAGCACTGACAATGCACAAATTGCAGCACGCGAATTTCAAAAGTTGAGGCGAAAGAAAGCCCCAACTGCCTTTGGAAATTTAGCAACAGAAATATGTCGAGCGAGCCAGCCAGCACTATGCCGAAGGATACAGCCAACACCTTGCCGAAGGATACAGCCAACACCATGCCGAAGGATACAGCCAGCACCATGTCGAAGGATACAGCCAGCACCATGCCGAAGGATACAGTTACCAAAGTCCAGGAGTACAAAGAAACTTTAATCCAGAGAACGGAGCTGCTGGTAACCAAACGCTTCCCGGAGATAATTGTTCAGCTGAACGAGCTGCTCACCACGCCCATGTTCAAGGAGCGCGATTTTGAAAAGATCCATCAGGATATAAACATACCTGTGCAATCTCCCGACGATAGCAATGGCGATGATCAACCGCAAACGAAGCGCACTCGAAAGGATGTTGTTGTGGGATGCCCTGTACTGGCGCTGCCAAACGGCTCCGTGTCTTGCAACAAGTCAATCTGCCAGATGATCGATGTGGTCAAGCCCATCATACGCGCCCTGGTGGAGCATGCCAATCTGCTGAAGATGTGGATATCGTTCATGATACCGAAAATCGAGGATGGCAATAACTTTGGTGTCTCCGTGCAGGAGGAAACGCTCGCCGAAATTCGAGCCGTCGAATCGGATGCGGCCACCTACTTTGTGCAGATCACGGCGTTTTTTCGGTCGCGTGCCAAGATCGTCGCGAGTGTGGCCAAATATCCGCACATCGAGGACTACCGACAGGCCGTCAACGAGCTGGACGAGCAGGAGTGCCTCAATCTGTGGCTTGTGGTGTCCGAGATACGCAATCGCTACTCCTCGCTGCACGATTTGGTCATCAAGAACTTGGAGAAACTAAAAAGGCCGCGCAACTCGAATACCGAGAGCTTGTACTAGAGATTGAGATATATCGAAACTGAATACTTGAAAGAGCCTTCCAATAGATTCAGTGAAATAACAATTATGATTATCCGATTTACCATTAACAACTAAATAGATATTAATGTTTGTTTGTCTGTGGATGTGCCAACAATTTCCAAAAATGTAAACCGAATTTACTAATATTCAAAGTATTTTGGTTTATATTACTAAGATCTTTAATTATGGCAAAATTTAATATGAATTATGCCAACTGCTTTAAATGTCTTTCCCATCTCAGATTAATGTCAATTAATTCTGCTGTCATACTCGTAATTTTAATGATACTCGCATACGATGCAATATTTTAATGATGTAAGTCAAGCCATTTGATATTGATTTCTTAAAAATAATGAGTGAATGAATATTGAGAGGAGCGAAATTAATTTCCATGAAAAAGTTAAATCCGCCTTTGTTGTAAGAACATTTTGATTGTAGAAGCGGTTTTCCTAGAAATTACTTGCTCATAATACTCTTACGAGACTCTTCGTTACTTCAAAGTTATTGCTGGTATTTCACATTAATTGTTTAGACGACGTTCTGTTTAACCAAGGGTCATAGACACTGAGAGACCTAATTACGTTTGTTTCTCTGTAATTTATTTTGATCTGCAACAGTGGATATCTATTATCGGTGGTGTCTGCAAGCTAGAGGCCTGTAAACATCTTTTAGCATGATGCTGTTAAGAATTCCTGTACAGGGAAACGAAGCCTTAAAGCTTTCGCAGATTATGGGAATAATCTCCCAGGCTTGCAGCTCCCACAAAATTATATCTACGAGTATGTACTTATTTAACTCCAAAGTGTTACATGTTTTCATGGTTAGTTTCATGGCTTGACTCTACAAAAACTCGTATACTGTCCCTATAAATCTTATTGGCTGATATCGAATTTGTTTATATACATATTTTGTTTATTGGGATTTGTATGATATAATCGTATATATATATATATGTATGTGGTATTGATAAGTTATCTTCACAGTGTTGTAAACAAATGATAAGAATGATACACAATATATGTATGTATGAATCGACAAAAGCCTGTACTAGATTATTTTCCCTGCTCTAAGCAGCGTGGAATCCCTTTATGACTTTGTGCTTGTGGCAAGACACTCACGGCGTGCCACAGCGAACACGTCACTTGTTGTCTTCAGGTGGAAGGACATGTGACTTGGATCTAATTCGAGACTGAATGCCGTTGCCATTGACGTTGGCACGATGGTACGATGATGACGGAACGGTGCGGTATGGCAGCCATGGCATGCCTGGAGCAGCATTCATTCATCAATCGGAGGCCTGCTGGGCGTGGGCTTTGTGTCAGCTTCATTGCGTTTGATTGAATGCTATTGACATTGCTGTGAAGGGGCATATGCAGCAGGCTGAATCCGGGAGCAGCAACAGCCACAAGTGCTTTAATTATAGCCTGGCCTGGCCCGATCCGAGCAGGACAGCATCACTTCGCTGGCTATAAATGTCACACAAAAGCCCGCTGTTTGATTAAGAGCTGCGTAAACAACCGGAAGCGGTGTCAGCACATAGGCGGATGGTGTTGGCGGGAGGCGTATAGCGAGGGCCGAGGCGTGGACAAAGAGCGGATGGCTGATGGCTGATGGCGCAGGAGGCGTGCTGGCCGATGGACAGCTACTAAAAATGAAACGAAAATATTTTCGCGTAAACATAAACAAAAGTCGCCATATAAAAATGAAATTCATAAGCGGGCCAATACTCGTATAAAAGCGCGCTCCTAAAAGCAGAACTTACGACGGCCACTTTGGTGTAATATTAAGCAAACACAGATACACACACACACACACAAACACAAAACTGGAGAGATACTCGTAGAGCCAAAGAGTGGGCCCTGTTATGAATGCATGAATATAACATTATATTTTGATGGCCTGTAAAAACAAAGTCTAGCAATTGCACAAATATTTCCAAGGCAAATACCCAAACAAGTTGCCCTACAAACGGCCAGTGAAATGGCGGCCAAAGTGGGCTAAATTGCGAGTGGATTTCAGCAACTTTAACTTTAAGAAGAAAATGTTTAAGCTTGATGTAGGCTCAACTGATTAAGTGCCTATTTGGAGTCGCCTTGTTTGACTTTATTTGTCTGTTTTCTAAGCAAACAAAAATTGCATCAAATATTCTGCACATTAAGAATTTAAATTTTAGAATTTTCAAAGGACTAATACATGTATATAATTACTCATATATTAGTTCACTTTTAATGGATGACTGATGTAATGTTAACCTTATGTTACCTTTGTCTTCCATCAACTGGGTCTGCCCTATCTGCTGCTGGCTCTACTTCTGAGTCTGAAGAGTCCATTCATGAGACCCAGAAATATCCCAAGCTAGGAAATAACTATTTTCTCGCTAACAAGGATTAGTCTTTGTAACACAGAAAATAGGATCGGGCTATACCCAGTTTGTTCTTCGGCTTAAAATAAATTTCTGTTTCTGAATAAAAGGCAATTATATCCTGCAAAAATCCTCCTGCACGAGGAACTTTCCAAGATTATTTCAAGTGTCACCCTGCCAGTCGTCTCTCTGTCTCTCTGTCTCTTGGTAATGTTCATAATTAGCACATAAATATGAGCATTATAATCATTGATATACATAGCAAATGCAATCATCATTTGGAATTCATTTATATTACTTTTTAATTGCAAATGAAAGAGCGCTGTCCGTTCACGGACAAAAAAACATAAAAAGAAAAACGCAGATTCCTTTGTGTATTTTTTCCAGCCAATTCCAAATCCACCTGAAAGCTGATTTAATTACCAGCTTAAGCCCTCTTTGCCCGGAAAGTCAATTCCATGGCAGCCGTCTCCGTCTCCTGCGCTCCGGCATTCGACTGCGAATGGAATGGGTGTGGGGGTGGGTTTCTGGTTGCTGGTTGCTCTGGGATCAGCTGGGTAGGGGTTCTGCCACTGAATGCAATTAATTTTAAACTAAACAAATATTAATCATAATTCCCGTTGGCTGGGGAATCCTTCGTGCGATTCAAGGCACGTAGGACCTAGCTCAACAAATACCCCCACCACACACACACACACACACACACACACGCCGCTGAGCAAACACACACACACACAGTGACATCAGAATAGGGTCCTACAATGTCGTCATATGGACAAATGTCTGTATTACAAAAACCTCGACGTCGACAACGACGACGACTACGACAATCCATTTACTTAATGAGATTGCAAGCGTTTTGGTGACATTGAAAACGCGTTTATTAGGGTTACCCACCCCCACCCCACCAACCCACCACAACCATACACAACCCACCTCTAGTCAGACCCTCTCGCAGCAGGGTGCAACATGCCCCAAACCCTTAATGGGGTGGGGGGGCATAACAAATGCTTTTGTGAGCCAAGTTCATTCATAAAAGGAGCGCTGCGTCAGGCCCAAAACAGGAGGCGAAAAAGGCGGCGAGGAGACAAGAGAAAAGAGTGAACAAAAAATAAGGGGGAGAAAAATAGTAGGTGGGCAGCCTTGGCTACACCCAGAAAATGCTATAAATAGCCCAGTGGAGGAGGCAAGCGAGTGTGAGAGGATATCAAGTTATAAATTTTCGGAGAAATGAAGAAATCAGGGAGCAAGTGGGGAGTGGGCAGGAAGCAGCGCGGAAGTGTGGGGAGCTAATGGCAGTCAGCCGGGTGTTGGGATCCATTGCGGCTGTGGTCGTTTAAGCTTAGCTCAACAACTGACTTGGCACTTTCTTAGGGAGACAAGCAAGTAGCCGTGCCGTAAAAAACGGAAAATGAAAGGAAATTTAGGCAAATACAATGTGCCTAGGTGGGGTCGGGGTCTGGGTCTGGGTCTGGGTTGGGAGAAAGTTCGCGCTGTTGCTATTTTTGGACACCCAACCAGGGGAGGTGGGGTAAAGCACATGCAGGCGAGAGAGCGAGAGTGAGAGAGTGAGAGAGACGGAGAAGTTTCGCGAATGCTCCATAAGCACCGCCTCCACAGAAAGCTCCTTCACGTTGAGAGCTTTTGCTTTTGCTCGTGGGCGTCGCTGTCGCTGCCAACGCAACAGGAGCGCTAGGCAACAGCAGCAGCCAGCAGCCAGCAGCTGCTGTCGAAGCAACAGTGAAAGCTTTGAGCTTTCACCACTTCCCCAGCCCAGGCGCACTTTCCAAGCTGGAACAGACTGGAACGCACTTCGGCACTTCGTCGCTCGTGAGTGCGTGGGCTTCGTGGGCCCAGCCTCGGGGCCTGCTGCTGCTGCTGCTGCTGCTGCTGCTGCGTGCTGCTCTGTCTGTTGCTACCTGATGCTCGGATGCGACTCGACTTTTGGTTCAGTTCAACCTGGGGAGCGCAGCGGAGTGAACGCTGGGCCGAGTGTTGAGCGGTTAAATAAGAAAAGTGCCTGAAAATCCCAGCTAGTGTTCTGCGCCAGCTACTTCATTGCCAGCGGACCAGAGAGTCTGCCCCAACGACTCTAGTGTGCCTGTGGCTGTGCCCCGTCCTGCTCCAGTCCTGATAAGCAGCCCTTCGACCGTGTAAGCCTAACATATGGCAGCCAGCATCGATGCCAGCCCTCGGCACTTCATATGGTGAGTGCAAAAAAAAAAAAATGGAAAGTAACGAATAGAAAAAGTAAAGGGGGGGATGGGAAATATTAAATGCAAAAACTTTTGCATATTCAACTTTTGTAACTATACACGGGTATATGTAAATATTTTGGGGGCACGAAACTGGCCCTGAGAGTGTGCATATACTTTTTCAATTAAGTGTTTTAAAAAAATAAAAATCCGACAGGCAGGGTTGCAGCGGAATAACGGTGATCAGCGATGACAGCTGCGCCGCAAAGTAGGCAACTGTACTTACGATGCACTCAGGCAGAAGCGAAGCTGCCAGCCAACACGATTCGATTTGCTTACACAAACTCAATTATAAAATGTAAATGTAAATGTAAAATCTCGCCCGTCCTCCATAGTCCATTAATTCTGTCACCGACTCGATGACAATTGGCATGTGTTGCACGAATTTTCACAAATTATCATGAAAATGCGCAGCCAACTGAATACTAATTTAATTGGCAACACAGTGTCCAAAACTATACAGCAGTAAGCCAGTTAATCAACAGAGAATATTATTTGTGACAAGCTGAAAATGAATTATCAGTTTCGCCCAGATAGATAGCCACCTGGTGATAGATACAGATAAAATGGTAGGTTAGTAGGAAGAGATACAGATAATACGCAAATTTATGTACACGCACAAAAGAGTTTGGGTTGGCGGTGGGTGGTGTGTGTGTGTGTGTGGGGGTGTGTTTGTGGGTGGGGGTTAAAAAGCCAAAGTGCAACAGTATCGGGTATCCAGCACACACACACACCTCCGACCCTGTGTTATTTTCCTGACATTTTCCTGGCTGCAAAACTGCGCAATTTGTTTTTCCAAGAGCTCGAAAATTGATTCCATCCTCCGCCAATCCCTCGCACACGCACACGCCCACCGGGATGCACAATCAGGAGTCCGCATTAACAGCATTATCAGTCGTGGCCTTCGCTGGAAAAGACTCTGCTTCATTATCCTTGGCTCCTGGCTCCTCCCACATGCCCACGCAATACGACAGCTGCATTTATTAAGGGCCAACTGAATAAAATATGGCGCATAAATGCCAGTACGCGGATATGCTTATGCGGGGGTGTGGGTGGGGGGAGGGGAGAGAGACAGAGACGCGAATGAATGCCCGTGCATGCAGCGCTGGTAATTTGTTGCAAACGCAAAGGACTCGCTTTGAGCAGGACAAGGGGGAGGGGCACATAAGCAGCTTTGCCAGCTCCACAAAAGGGGCTCACCAGCACTGCTCCCGGTCCATGCGGGTTGGGTCCACTGGTCCATTGCAGCTTTGTACTTTGGTAAATTCCCTGCATCCTCCCATTCCCCGGGAAGCTTATAATTGGTGGGCCAAATGGATGGCAAACTGCTGCTGTAAAATCCCAAAAGGTTCTACAACTTTCCATGAATTGGTTCTAAGAAAAAAAAAAACACTTTCAAATGAGAGTTTGTTATATTTTCTATCTCATTTCTGTGTAACAATTACAAGAGGCTTATACCTATTAAGAAAATAAATTTGATTTGCATTTCGGTGCTAAAGGATTTCTAGGAATTGTTATTTGCTGAGCCTCGAATCAAATTCCATTGCATTCGATTCAAAGCGAGTTAAATAAACTCAATTATAAAATGTAAATCAATCCCTTTCGACTGCTTTTATTTGATTTCAATGGGAAATGCATTGTATTCAAGCTATTAAAATAATAGCATGCTGAATGGATTTATATTAAAAAAATAATCCTTTAGTTAGGTGTGAACAAAATGTTTAATATATAAACAAATGAATACAAATTGTTTGTATACCTGAAAAAAACCCGTACCCAATAGTATATAGTTTTGGTGGATGAAATTTACGGATTAACATAAGAAAACATTAATTATTTCAATATTTTTTATCAGTTGATAATATAATATAATTAAATATAAGCGAAAATCCATTTGTTTCATATATACATATATACTCTCTAGCTTTCTTTATTGTTAGGCTGTGCAGAAATTGTTCAGACACATATAGATGTAGTAGTTAGTGACTAGAACATGGGCAAAGCAAATCGCGCAACTCTATAAAATTTGTTTTAATGCATTTATCATGAAAGAAGAAAGAAGAAAGAAGAAAGAAGAATATGAAGAAAGCGAATGATTGAATGAATGAATGTTTCATTATATGTATCTATTACTTGAAATTACAAATAAAACTTGGGCAAAATTCAAAAAAGAGTTCGCGCTGAATTAAATAATAATCGAATAAATTTTGTTTCCTAACACGGAACTTCAGAGCTTCAGTAGAAAAACGTCTTTTCATTTCCACTTTAAGAAGTAAAGAATATTCATCAGAATTTCGAATGAAATCCAAACCGTTATCCTTAAAACTGAAATTATTAAAATATTCAAAAGCGTTGTTCAAAAATCTTCATTTCTTTCTTTAGTTTATTGAATTCAAAACCCCTCAGAAGAATAATTATAAGCTGATCCTCCTAACTCGACCAAATTGTGGAATTACCCCAGACTGGCTGCCACTTTTGATAATTGTCCTGCCACACACAGCTGGAGCCACTCTTAGCCCACTCTCAGCCCACTTTCAATTGCCGAATCCAGCTGGCGAGTTATCTAATTGCTTTTCACATTGTGTTCCTCTGTGTGTGTGTGTGTGTGTGTGTGTGTGTGGGGCGGAAATCCCCTTTCATGCTGTGTGGTCCCTAAAAAAAGGGAATTATGAATTGTGTATTTGTAGTCGTAGACGGGTTGAATGGTGCACATTGTGTGGGACGGAAACGGAGTCAGGATGAAAGCGATTTGTTATCCTTTAAGCGGGGGGGCCAAGGATATGCCCCTGCCGCCGTGCATCAATTACACAAAAGGAACTAAGGAAACTTGAGCCTGTCGAGGCCTTAAATCAACTGCCACCTGGCACTCCCACACCCACACCTCCACCTCCCACTCAGGACCTTCATTTTACGCGCTTTTGTGTCAGTCTGGCTCTGTTTGCCTCCTGCTCCAGCGCCAGCTCGATATTCACAATAATAGAGCCCTAAAGAGCTCTAAAGTGCAGGCAAACACCTGCCAAGGCCCCCACTCGAATCCCACTCGAACCCGATCCACAATCCGCACCAAAGGGCAAACACACGCATCAAATCGAATGGCAGAAAGCTTGCCAACACTTCAGACCCAAAAATACTAACTGCGAAATACCCACAGGCAGTGGCAGAAAAGCAACTTTCAACATTTAACCCGACAGATGGAAATGGATATGGAAAAGTCACTGGAGGAGCATGAAGCTACAGCTACAGACTGCCATATCATCGGCGTCATGATTAGCTCAGCAGTCTATATACCCAGAGAGAGAGAGAGAGAGGGAGAGAGAGAGAGGGAGAATCCTAATGTGATGAACAGTGCCAGAGGGGCGACGGCAGCCCACCGAAGCAGAAGCCAGAAACCAAGAAGGGAACGAGACTGAGACCCTAAGCCAAGGCAGGTTTTCATGCTCAGGCGCACATCGGACCGACAGACCGACAGACAGACAGATGGAACAGAATGGAACGGAACTGACGGGAGCGGACAGTCGTAAGGACAATGGTAAATCTTGCAGATTTTGGTCAAGAAATGCGCAACGAAATGTGAAACCCAAATCAACTTGAAAGTGAATAAAAACCACCAAAAAGGAGCAACTTTGCAGGCAAGCCAGCCAACCAGGCCACAAAGGCGAATGAAAAGTTTTTAAATGTTGCGCCCGGACACACCTCCGCCGGCAGGAAGCAAAGGAAATGCCCCAACAGGACCGAGGCTGTGTGCTCTCGAATAAACTGAGAGAAAAGTGGCCCAGAGACTGACGGATCCAAGAGTCGTAGATTTGTGGCAGGGCAAATGGCAAATCCCGCAAAGAAACTCAATAAGGCAGTAGGAAATGCGGAAAAATGTGGGGAGCAGGAAGAGACTTCGAGGACAGCTTGCAACAACTTGTGTGCCATTCTGTGTGGCAGAGCCAAGCACATTGGATTGGCCTCTCAATTGGAGTGGACGTTGAAGTGCCAATAAATTATATTGCCCAGCCGCTGCTCTCTTACTGTCAACTGATTTGTATTTCAGCGGTGTCTTCAATTCCGCTGATTAAAGGCGGCGCGAGCGCGGCCAACTTAATCAATTTCCGGCAAAACCTTTCCGTTCCATTCCGTGCCCGCTCTCTCTGTGTGGGGCACCCTCCTACGGTGTGTGCCCCTCACGGCCCGCTCCGCACAGCCAGCCGACACGCGCGAGCATTTTCCAGCCAAGAAGGAAACAAAGTTTTTACTTTTTGCGCAAATAGCAGAAAGAAGGAACGAAGAAGCGGAGCAGCAGCACGTGCCCAACCAACCCAGCTATATACAATACGGTCTGCTGAATACCCACAATGCAAAACTAAAGCCTTTTTTACGGCTGCTGACGACAGCTGCAAATTAAATAAAATTAAGCCGAAAGTTAGAGCCAGCTATTTATTAAGTGGCTTTTGCGTATTGTCTGTGCCAGGCGAGGCCCAACACAGCCCAGCAGGGCGACAGGATGTCAAGAGATTCAGCCCCCCCTCCTCATTTTAATTGAATGAGTACCTACAGAGCATAGCTTATGAAGCCCCAACCGTCACCAGCAGCAACAGCAGCAGCAGCAGTGTGCCACCTGGCAGCAGTATCAGCAGCAATAGCAGGAGCAGGAACAGAAGTAGGAGCCCACAAAGTAAAAATGCAATCATGGCATCGTCAAAAAATTTGACAAAAATCCTTAAAAGAAAAATAAGCTCTTGGACTATGGCAAACAGCTGGAGCTAAGTGAAGAGTAAACTAAAATGCAACGTCAGCGGCACAAAAGAAAAAGCGATTACCTTTAACCACAAAAAGGAGACGGGGAAAATGCCAGAAAAGGATAGTAACTGCAGCGAGAAAATTGGCAACACTGCGGCCATGAAGATGCAAATGGTAGATAATGTACATAATTTTCTAGGGACAATGGATCATAAAACATTATGTGGAGAACAAGAGATTGAGTCTAAGGCTCCGCCCTGAGCGGCACTCGACACTCGACTTTCGAATAGCAGATTCCTCCCAAAGGGTGTGCCATTTCGAGCCCCTGCTAATATGTAGAGTTCAAAAATGTTTTTAATTTTGTGTCCAAATATTGCTTGCAGCTGTAGCCAAAAAAGAACAAACTGTATTTCAGCTGCAGGCCAGGCTGGAGGGCATTCTACACTTTTTCTGCTGGCAATTTGCCGTTGCTGCCGCTGGCTTAATGCTTTTGAGAGAAATTCTTTTACTCTTTGCTGATTGCTGGCTTCTGGTGTTGTTTAAAACAAAAATAATTGCATGCTTCTACAAAGTTAATAATGAAATGGGAGAGGCTTCTTGGCTGAGAAATAAATTGCTTTTGAAATATGCAGTGAACGGTGGAACGGTTGAGGTGTAGTATTTCCCTGATTAAATTAAGTCTTCGGGGAATTTAACAAGTCTTCTGTGAATCTAACCATAATGTGAGTGATGTGTAATGGAAACTAGCAGGCAGAAATAATAAAAGGACTTCTAGTTATGCACTTAGTAAACTGCCGAGGGCAGCTGGCAATGCGATGTTTCAGTAAACTCTGCCACAGATTGATATGTTTGTGAATTGCTGGCTTAATAATTGATTGGTTCCGAAAATAATTATGCCCAGTCTTACTTCGTTTGACACATGCACAGAGAGCTGCAGAAATAAATGCTTTGGTCTGAATTTGTAGTCAGCAGCTGACTGAATTTTTGTTTGTTGTAATTAGTGGCTATAAGTTGGCTAATTAACCCTAACGATTGATGAGAAAGAGCACTAAGAGGAGTCTAGTGGGCAGGAGGAGCGGAGCACACAGCCGCAGTCCACTCCCTCAAAAGAAATTGCCTTTTTGGCAGGAGCAAAAGCGGCGGCGGCATAAAACACATCGACTGGTGCCTGAGGCAATGGCTGCTTCAGAAACTTAAATAATTTAGCATTAAGTACTGCAATTATAGTTATAATATAAAGATGATCAAATCATTTGTATTTGTTGATACATTCAGTTGTGCATTGTTTAAGTTAAATGAGCAGCGTTTGCGTTTAGCTGCTGGCGACGGTCAGGGCCATGATGGCATTCACCACATCGTTCTCGTTGTCCAGCAGGGCCTTGATGGCCTTCTTGCGCGAGCAGTTGGACTGCATCTGGACCAGTTCGATGTCCTTGACGTCCAGTCCGCTGGCCAGGGACTCGTCAATCTCCGGATCCTCCTTGTCAGTTTCGGCAGCTTGCGCCTTGGCAGAGGCCTCCATCTCGTTCTGCTCTTCTGCGGCGGCGTTCAGGCGATAGCGCTCGGCAGCCTGAGCGGCGGCCGTGTTGACGATGTCCTCGACCTTCACGTCGCCAAAGCACAGATAGGTCTCGCCAATCTTGTACACTTCGGGCTGATCGATATAGAGCAAGATGTTCTTGTTCTTGCGCATGGCCACGCGGCTGACGTTCTCCACGGGCTTCAGGTCGAGCTTCATGAGCAGGCGGCGGGCCTTCTTCTCGCCACGCGACTGCTTATGGATGCCGCTGCTAATGCCCCCGCCTTGGCGCTCCTTCACAGGCACCACAGTCAAATTTTCGGGCACTTCGTCATCCGAGTCCAGGTCATCGTCGGTCGAACCATCGGCCACCTGGGCGTAGTGCTTGGTAATTTCGATCAGTTCCTGCAGCTTTTCGTCGTTCTTCTTCGAGGTGGAAGGACCTGCTGTTTCGTCTAGGGAAATTTTCAGCTTGGCGGCGGCCGCAGCTGCAGCGGCAGTGGCGGCGATTTTAGCAGCGGCCTTCTTCATTTTTTGTTTTTTACCCATCTCGCCTTGCACTTAACTGCAAAATTAAGAATTAAATCGGGGAACAGAGCCCACAAAATATACGCACTATACGCACTTTTTACTTTAGTTGATGCCGGTGCGGAGCAGATCCGAAAAAGAACAATGACAATGTGTTTCCGGAACTTTGACAGCGCTGGCAGTGTTGTCGAGTGTCCGTAGAGCTCGACACTGAACTGTAACTGAGAATGTTCTAGAAGAAGTCATTAAAAAAAAGAATGGGAGAGCACCATACAAGATATGTATACCTAGGGATTGCCAGGAATTTATTTATTGCTAAATAAATTGCAAATTAAAAGCGATTTTTGCCTTTTATTTAATTGATCAGCTGTTCCGCACAGGGTTGCAGTGAAGCTGCGCAATGTGCTCAAAGGCGCAAACAATATTGAGTTATCAAACGAGCGTGGGGTGTGTACACACTGGCCATTTGTTTACATTTTTTTGTGGTTTTCAATATGGCGATCGTCCGTTGCATTTTTATTTGTTTCCTGCGATATTTGTGTTGTGTGTAGCACTGTGTCGCGGCTTTAAGCCCCTTCTAGAACTTTTAATAACTTAATAAATTCTGTTTAATGCGTTCTATACGAAATTGAATGTTCAATTGGCGAAATAGTTGCAGCTGCAGCTGCAGCCGACAGCCACGCGCTATTTGTATTGGCATAGCATAGCAGGGTAATAAAAGTTTTGCGTTAACAAATTTCGAAATTGAAATTGATGATTGAAAATCCGTAGTGCAGACGTGCCAGCTCCCCGAAAAATTCGAGCCGAGCCTGACAAAGCCAATGGATGGAATTTGCAGCAGCAGAAAGCGAAAGTGCAGCTGCTGGTCCCCGCGGCATGTCAGATCCGATCCCCAAGGGGGCTCTGCATTTGTATTTGGTTGGGAAAACACGTAGCTTGTCGCCGGGAGCGGGTGGCAAAAGCCAAACGGAAAACGGAATGAGAATGGAAAATGGCAAAGGAAGTGGAAGTGGAAAAGAAGCTGCGGTTTAATGTCGGCGGCAAGTGGTGAGGCAGGGGGTTGGGTTGGCCCGGTTGACCCTGTGCAACACAAATGTACGTTTGCAGCTGTTTTCATCCATTTTAATTGCAGCTGTGGCAGCAGGATTGTCTGCGGTTCTGGCCACCGAAAGTGCCGCGCAGCACAAACAAGGAAGGAGGCTTCCCGTGGAACCTGCCACCTCTTTTTTGGCAGGCACATTGCCAGCGAAAGTCTGTCCCTGTCTGTACGCACCATAAACATGCATATGAATGAATCCCTAAAGGCTTGGCAAGTTAACCATATTTAAAAGAAAAGAAAAATGCCACACCCTATTAGCGTAGCCATTCCGGGCACTTGTTGCCAGCAATCCGTTGCATATTGCACTCATATCCGATGCCCCCTTGGGATCTGTGTGGCTTAACCCTCGCTGATGCGTTTTTAATTGCTCCGTTCCTTTAATTAAAGTGTGTCCTTGCCCCCTTCCGCAATAATTAAACTTTATCTTCGGGTCACATCCTAATTGAGTCGCATAAATTATGTAATGGGCAGAAGAGAACAGGGAAAAGGACGTTGCAACCGCCTCCGCCACTTGACAAAGTGGCTGCCTTTCACCTTAATTGAATTGAAGAGGCCAACTAATCAGATATTCCCTTTTTGCCAGTCATAAGTTCATATCGGCCAACAGCGCACAGTCCCCCACAATATTACGAGTATAAACTCGAGCTCAAAGGGCTGAAGAAGTTGGCTTTTAACTTTTTGGTCGATTCGATTCGATGGGAGGAGGGGAAAACTTTTTTGGCCTGGCTGGCACGTTCGTCCAATGATTAATTATCCCGCCCCATGTGCTGCAGTGTCATCTGGGGCCGCCGCCGCCGCCACTCCCGGTTCACTTTATTGAGGCTTAGTTTAGCTTTGTAGTTTAGTTTTCCTTTTTGTTTTTCTTGAGGCGCGACGGCCTGCGCATGAAAAATGAACCCAAGCCCACAGGCAGACAGGCGGGCAGGCTGCCAGGCAGGCATCAAGGAGAAGAAACAGTCGCAAGGAGCAGAAGGCACCAAGGAGAGACATCACCACAGTCTGACTGAACCCTGGGTTCTGGGTCTCGGCCCGGAGACGGCTCTGTCAAGGCAATAAAGTCCATTAGAGCAGCCGCTGGGCGGGTGATGGGTGTTGGTGTTGGGTGTTGGGTGTTGGTTGGAGTGAGGCCAAGAATCTGTAACGCATTAATCATGCAAGTTCCCAAGGAATGATTGAAATCATATTATGTACAATGTGATGGGCATGTCCCAGGCATGTTTCCGAGGATACACCAGCAGAATTGAGGCTGTTTGCTTATACATAAAAAGATGTTTCTGTAATTGAGATGTTCGGCAAGATATTTATATGGTACTTAAGATGTCTGTACATACGTGTGTACATATGTATGAACTTAGAAACGGATTATGTACACATGCAGCTTCTTGAAACAGTTATGGGAAGTTTGTCTTAGTTTGATGTTTAAGTTTCTGCTGAAGCCCAAAAGCTAAAGTTAACTATTAGTTTTGTTTGTTTAGCCTTTTGTGAACGAAAGTAAAGAAAGTGCGATGCAAGTGAAACTGAAAGATTTAATTAGAAAATTCTTAAAAATTTAATAGTGTAGAGGCTTCAATATAATATTTGTGCAATTTATTAATATTAGGTAGCGAAAGTACGCGTACGTACATATGTATGTACTATGTAGTAGGTAGGCTGGTATGTAGATTATGTAATAACGATCAGCTCAAGACTAATTGCAAGCGCTAACGGGACGAATTGCCTGTACCCTGTGAAGCAAATCTTCCCATAGAGCGCAGAAGAGAGTGAGTGATAGAAGCAGAGCATCAGCTCAGGGCTGCGTTGCTAAGGCGAGCACAAACGATATCCGGAGCGCGAGAGAATAGCTTTCGTTTCGTGTATGCTGTAACTGCAGCAACTAATTGAAGAAGGTGATGTAGAGGGAGACGAAAGAACTGCCGCTGCCGTGCGTTGGCATACGCAGGTAACAAAATGAATGCACAGTGGACAAATAGTGCAAATAGTGCAAATAGTGAAAAATAATACTGATTCGCATTAGGCTTTGAGAACTAAATATCGTAAACCGTAAGGGAACTTTAAATAAATAACTCCTAATAAAATTTGCACTATATTTATGGCTTGCCTTTAGTTGTGCCATAGTTTCTGTTGCAAAAATTTTGCAAGAAAGGAAACTTAAAGTTTGGATTTAGTGGCCTTTAGTGGAACCCTTGCTCACATGTCTGCCTAAATCCTGCCCGTTTTCTTACACCTAGTTGACAGGTTATTTTATTTGGTTTTCGTGTTAATATTGCTTTCGTCTTGGTCCATAATTTGTTGGTTCCTTTTTGGGCTTGGGCTTAATCTGCCACAGCTCTGCGGCCGAGCTGTTGATGAGATGGAATCCCATTTTGGGGGGCGGTTTTGCGGTTTTCGGAGCGAAAATGAATGTCGGACCCCCATCTGAAATATGTCAACCTTGAGCGTGGTCTGGGGGGGAGGACTGAAGCGCTTATCGCCAAATGACCCAGACGACGAGGACGACAACGACAACCGAGCCTTGTTCCATGGAGCCACCCAACCGAATCCAAACCACCTGCCCCACCGCAAAAAGCCATTCAAGCGGCAAAGAAAATCAATTTCCTTTGCCTTCGGCTTCTGGGTGGGAGGGGGAAGGGGGAGTGGTGAAAGGACACAGAGTCTCGGGGGCAAGCTGAAGTCTGACATTTATTACCATATAGGGAGCCAAGGAGAGTATTCGTAGGACTCTGGTCCTACCGACACAAAAAACCGGGAAACTGCAGCGCGACAAATGTGCACAAACAACAATGCCCCGCCCCACTAAGGGAATCACTCCAGCCAACACCACACCCAACACCCAACACCACCCACCACCACCCAAAAACATTTTCCTTCCCCTTTTAAGGTGCTCCATCCAGCATTGTGCATATTGTGTGAAAATATGAAATATGGAAATGCCGGAAAGCGAAAAGTTGTCCCTGGCACAATAAAATGCAATTTCCCTCAAGAGGCAAACGGGGGCGTGGCACAGTGCTGCGAATATACATTGCTAATTTCCGTTAACAACAAGGAGTATAGCAACCAAATACCATTGTGTGTGTGCGTGTGTGTGTGGGTGGATTCCACTCAGATCATATTCCACACCCACACCCAGCCGCGCCACAACAGCAAGAGCAAGCGCCAAGAGCCAAGGCGGGGCAGAGCAAGGAGTTATTAGTGGCAAAATGTTTGCATACATTTTAGTGCATACATTTTAGTGGGCAAAGAAATATGAGAAGATATGCGGGTATGGGGGTAGAAATGGTGCGATTTTGCACTCAAGGAATTAAATTGAAATTGGGTACTTTTATGAGAAATTATGGGCTGAAAATGGGACTGATAAATATGCGCAAAAAAAGTGCAGCTAAATATATTTACCCTACGAATATTTTTCGACGCCCTGCTAATGAGTCCCCTTACCTCTCCTTGTGGTTTCTTCGCAGGTGTGCCGATTATCATGGCAAGCAATGCAAAACAACAACAGCAAGATCAATGCACAACCAGTGAAGAGTCGCAGCTACAGAGAGTACGATCAGTAGTCGAGGGTCGACCGGCTGGACCCGAGGAATGCGAAGATTGGCCTAAACAGCGATCCGAGCAGCAGCAGCAGCAGCAACAGGAGACGCAGCTCCAGGGGCAGCAACAACGACAGCCGCGCCAACACGAGCTACTGCATCATCCGCGCAAGCCGCTGCCGGCACTTACCGCTCGCGGCCGCCTGCTAGTCAGTGAGGGGGCACGCCGGCGGGAAGTGCGTGGCTGTGGCCGAGCTGGTGCCGAGGGTGGAGTCGGAGTTGGTGGCGGCGTTGGTGGCGGTGGCGGTGGCGGTGGCCTGTTGTGCTGCAGCCTGGACGCACTGAAGCGGCCGGCAAAGCTGCTGCAATTCGGCTTCCTGCTACTGATCCTACTGTTTGCCAGCCATGGAGATCTTGTCCAAGCGGAGGGCAATGTTGGTAAGTGGCCTCCAAAGTGTATTAGCCCATGAGCTCTCCCCAGCCTCTCCCATGGTATCGTATCCATGGGAATAGATTTTCCTTGCCCCCCTGGCCACACGTAACGTGTTGTGTGTTAACTTTTGGCCCGCTCCTCCCATTGTGTGTTGCGGCAAAAACATTTACAAGTTTAATTAAAACTTTGACGCACAAAAAAAACACGCAACACAGCTTCTGCCTCTGCCACTGCCTCCGTGCTGCATCCACCTCTGGGTGTCCTGTCGGCTCCTGGCCCCTTCCTGTGCAAGCAGATTGTCCATATCCATGTGCCACTCCATGTGCCCTGCAAATATGTTTTTAACTCGTTTATCCAGCCCATGCATAATCCAATTGGTAGCGCCAGGGAAAACGGCCCACACACACGGCCTTTTGTGCCTGTGTGTGTGTGCGTGTGTGTGTCTGTGTTTGGGCCAGGAAATGGACTGTACGGCCGGAACTGGACCCAAAAGCCAGCTAAACGAGTTACAGTTGCCAAACGAAATTATGAATGTGCAACAGGCCCCAGCATCATGTCCAGCACCAGAGTCACTCTCCTTTGAGGCAATTATGGGTTTGGTTTGGCTCCAGGCTACACATAGGTGATTTGTGACTAGTACTAGGCGGTGGTCGATTAGTACCCTCAGCTAATTGATTAGCACATCAATTTGTCTGCCTTTGTAAATATTTTCTAATTGAGTTGTCAGGGCCACAGAACAAGACGGAAATTGAGCAGCAGATTGTCTTTTAAGCCTGTTGACTGATAGAAAATGGTAGAGATGAAAGGCAGTATCGGAGTATACCTTTCAGTCATATTAATAGGTTGAAATGTCACTCTTGTTATACCTCCTGAAAATACGGGAATTACATTATTTAGTTTTCCATTAAAATTTGAGTTTTCTTTGAATAAGTGTGGCCAGGCTGCGTTAAAAAAAAAGGTCTACTAAAAGCTAAAACTGTGTTGTTCTTTCCATGCAGTTTATGTACATTTTAATATAGAATTACTATTTAATGGATAAATATATAATAATAGTTTTAACGACATCTTTCTGGGGCTTAAGATTCATCTTTTTCAATCCCTTTGCTTATGTGCAACAGCTGCTCTCCTTTATTTTGTATGTACATTCAGCAAAATAGAATAAAAAAACTTTGATGGAGGACCAATAAACCCTCTCAATAAACCCTCTCTCTGCCGACCCTCCTTAGCTCTATTAAGTCTTAAATTGTTCACCTTTTGACACATTTTTGACTCTCAACTGCCGAACCATTCAAATAAAAACCAACCGAGCGTTAAAACCAATTGCATATTTGACTGCTCATGAATAAACAGAAATATATACATTAATTAATCCGAGTGAGTGTATAACAATTTGATTGATTGCAAAATTGAATTTCCATATAAATACGAGTCCGTATATTTGCTCTTTCACATAGTTTCATTGCATTGCATTGCATTGCCCGCTGTCATAATCTGATTGTGTGCCTTTTGGTTTCCATTTAAGTAATTTCCATATATTCAATTTTCGTAATTATTTCCTCCACTCCACGCATAAGCCCCGCAAGCTGTCACAGATTTTCCCTACCCATCCCATCAAGTCTCAAGTCGTGTTTTGGTTGAGCATTTTCCAGCTTATCATATTCATATTGTGCAAGTTTCTTACGTATTCATGGCAACAGCGGCAGCGGCAGTGGCAGCGGCAGCGGTTGTGGCAGCAACTGGTTTAAGCTCCGCAAGGACTTTGAGTGGGTTGTGGTGTGGGTTGGGGGTTCGAGCTGCCACAGCATCTCACAGCTCGTATCCTGGTCAGGGTAGAGTACAGTTTCACAGCTCGTATCCTGGCCTGGAACAGCTTCGCAGCTCGTATCCTGGTCCAGGGTACAGTCTCGCTGCTCGTATCCCCCTGGTCAGGAGGGTACAGTCTCGCAGCTCGTAACCAGGCGTCGTCGTTGCACCCTCGAAGCTGCCTGTCCTGGGGCATGGGACCTGGCACACTCGCATCACAGCCTCGTATCCGCATCCCGGGCAAGGTACAGCTTCCCTCTGCCATGACAACAACTAGTTGCTGCTGTGGCAACGTCAACAGCAACAGCAGCAGCAGCAGCAGAAGGCATTGCTTTTGTTGGTTTGCCCGCTGCCACTCCCTCCTCTGCTCCTCTGCCCCATGCAAATTTTGCAGCTTTCGCTGCCCACATGCAAACTTAACCAGAGGGGGGGCGGGGGAGTGGAGTGCTGCTCTGCACATCCATTTATGCACAGGCTTGCGCAAATATCAACAGGAGCTAGGTCCTGGGATTTATTGATTGCAACTGGTGATAGCTCCGCCCACATGTCCTGCAGGGAGCTGGATGCTGGATGCTGCTGTCCCCCCCCGTCATCCTGCAGGTGTCTGCCATACACACACACACACACACACACACACACGGGCAAACAGATAAATGTTCTGGCCGTGCAGATGACTGCTCCCGACAATGGGCGACATTGTTGTTGGTCGTGTCATCTATGTATAAATTAGCTGACTGAGGCAAGAGGCATGAAGCATGAGGCGAGGCGCCACCCCAGCAACATCATCATTAGAAGCAACTGATGCTTCACTCCGCTCCGCTCCTCTCCTCTCCACTCCTCTCCTTGGTTGCATATACTCGTGTGTGTGTACATATTTCATGGCAGCCCTTGTCCACGCTGCCACACTGCCACACTGCACCTGCTCCTGCTCCGGCTCTGGTCTGTTGTGCAACTTTTGATGGCAGCACAATAAAATTTAATTAACAGCTTCAGCACGAGGAGGAGAACTGAAGCTGACGCTGACGCTGTGTCGCTGTAGTTGCAGTCCCTTGTGTGCGCTGTGGTGCAGGCATCCCTGTTGCATGCAACAGTCTCACACACATTGACCTTTGGCCGTTAGTCGAGGCGTGACAGGATCAGAGAATGTGCAGAAAACAACTTTATTAAACCGACTGACGTCCCAGGACAAAGGGGCCGGGCCACACCCCAAAACGGTGGCATGGAACTTTATCTGCACGTCCTTGCTGGCATATCTATTAATTTCATTTGTAAAACAAATATTTGCACTCAACGAAAGGGCAGAGCGAGACATGGAGAGGGAGATGCAGAGCGAGCGAGAGAGAGGCAGCTGAGTTTTGTCATATTTTTTGCGCAGTATTTTCCGCATTTTCTGCATTTCATGAAATTCAATTGGAGCCAAAATTAAAATTGCAATCTCTGGCCTGAGGCAGTAACCAGAAACCAGAACCCAGCAGCCGCTGCTGCTGCTGCCTTTTTGCAGCGAATTTGATTTTACATTTTCGCGCATTTTCACATTTCCAAATCAGACCCGAATGCATTATTAATTAGTTTGGCTGTCGGGGGGCTGTCCTGCTGAAAGGCCGGACATTGAGAACCTTTTTTTTTAAATAGATGCAGTGGCGACGTGGACTCAACTAATGCAATTCCCATGTACGGGGCTGGAGCCCCCACCCTCCCTGCCACATTGCGTATACGCCATGAAGTTTTACATCAGCGTAACCACAATTGTTCATAGATGAATGTATATGTATATAGTATGTAAATGTACAGCGGGCTACTGCTCTACAATGGTTGTGTGTGGCTGAGATGCTAATTCCCGCCAGGAAATTCCCATGAATTGCATTTGTGGCGTGCAATTGAAAAGAGCTGTGGCAATGCATTTCAGCGGGTATTACTTAAATCCAATCCACCTGCTGGTTAGCTCTTGAAATTCTACAAATTTTAACGCCTTAAATTCAAAGTTTGTGCTTGTTTTTCTGCAAGCCTGAAAACTTTTATTTGACTATTAAAAAGTGCTCACAGAGCATGTGTCTCGTACAAAAACCAGACCAGAGAAATTTCCTAGAATTTTTCTGCATTTTTTTTTTTTTGAGTAATTCTTTTGGGACTCTGCACTTTGCTTGCTTCTGTTTTTTTTTTGGCAAAATCTCGACAAATCTTTTCTGCACAGCAAAAATCTCTCTAAACCTGTCCATGTTTTTTCATGTTTTTTTTTTTTGCCACTTTTTGCCACTCTCAATCCCTGGGATATATTCTGTTGATCTCCGGGCATCCAATCCAAACTCGCACAAGGCTCTGTCCATGCTTGTTGCAACTTTCAACTGGTTTATTTATTTTTTGTTTTATTTCTGTGCTTGCAACAAATAAGTTTTGCACATGGCCAAAAGCATAATGGATGGATGACTGCGTTGAGTGGCGCAAATGATAGTTGGGTGGGATAGCTGGCCTCCCTTTCGCCTCCAGCCTGCAGCCTGTTTGTGGGGGCGAACTCTTATCGCTGCCGCCCAAGGTTGAGTGGGGTGGAACAGAAAAAATAATTGCTGTAGGACCATTTGAAGCGCTTCTTTTGCCGGGCTCCACGTTAGCCTTTGATCCGGCTGTTCCAGCTTTGATTCCGATTCCGATTCCGACTCCACTCCTGACTCGCCTGACTTTAATACGTTGCCCGTACCCGGACCTCCCTGCGCACATTTATTTCCCAGCCTTTCCCCCGACGGCAATTTAATTTATCAAATGGTGCGGGGCCCATGCCAGTGCCCGTGCCGGGCAAACAACTTGCAACTAATGAAAATGCACTTAATTTGCGCCACGCTCAAGTCATTTGGAACAAATTGCTGTCTGTTTATAAGCAGGAGGAGTATCCACTGTGTTGCAAGTGGCACAACCGCCCCTCCCCGCCCCGCCTTGCATTGTTAGCGTAAACATATTGCCGACATAATCGAAGAGCAGCACAAAAAGAGGAAGGACTCCATCCGTGCACTCGAGTGCTCTCAAAACTTTTGCAAGAGCTCCTTCCATGAATTCGCTCGCTCGGTTGGGTGCCTGCCCTATTACTTTCCGGCTTGTCAACTGATTGCGCGCCCAATTTTCGAGAGGAAAATGTACTGCAGAGAAAATATAGGAGAGAAAAGCCCCCAAAATTTGTCTGCCATTCTGAAAGCGTTTTAAGCGCCGCAATTAA